CCCCAAAACCCCAAAACCCCAAAACCCCAAAACCCCATGTCAGGAAAAGAAAATTGTTAGCAAATTATATATTTTTACATCTATGGGAAACAAAGTCGCTTCTGAAGGAGAAGATATGGCTGATAGTCCAAAGGCAGGTGTTGGCGAGATTGTGCCTAGCAAGAAGTAAGCAATCTCTCCATCCTAACCTTTTTTCTTATACTCCCGAACACATATTTAACTTCTTTTTATAGGAAACATAGATCATTTAGACGAAGATTAGCAGATAAATTTCGGAAGTCTAAGCACAAGAAAGAGTATCAAGAAGATAAGGAACAAATTATTCTGCAAAAGAATTCTTCGCAGCCTCAACCTAAAACACTGAATACTAGGAAGAATTATTATAAAAATCTTGGTATTTCTCAATTATCTAATGGAGACCGAGTTAATTACAGTCCTTATCACAGAGCAATAACAAGTGCAGTTTCTGAGCTAAGTCCAAGAGCTCATACTAGAACGGGTACGTATTGTCCTCAGTTTATACTAGTCGGATTTACAGGTTTAATACTATCTAGGGAAGGAGCATGTCACTTCATACTCTCACATAGCCTTGGCTAAAGCAAAGAGCAGAGCAGAGAACGATCGGAAAAAGGTATCTTGTGACTCCCCTTCTAAGGGAGGATTCTCAGACTTCCTCCCAGACAAGGAAGAAACTAAAATATCTATACCTTCAAAATTAGACTATCGAGAAAATGATGTCGAAGAATTGAAAAATGGTAGGAATACTACCCCTGATTCACGAAAGAGCCTCGAGGATCTTCTTGATAAAGATAAAGATGATTCCACCACGGCTGATACCTTCAGCATCAATGATACAGATAAGGAAGAGCAGGATTTTAAGCTTGATTTCCTTATCAAAAATCAGGAAAGATCAGGAGATACTATGAGGAGAAAATTTCTATCCAAACTTACACAGGAAAAAGTTTGGCTAACCCCTTCTGAGAAACCTAAGACTCATCAGACATGCATTATATATGACTGGGACGACACGCTGCTTTGCACAACATTCTTGAATCCAACAAATTGAGGGAATTTTGAATTACCTCTGAACGTGAAAGTTCACCTGAAGAAGCTTGAAAAAGCCTGAATTAACATTCTCACAGAATCTCTAAATTATGGAGATGTTTACATCATCACAAATGCAGCAGATGGATGGGTGGAGTTCTCGGCAAGGAAATATTTACCGAATTTAACTCCAATTTTAGAGAAAATTACTATTATGAGTGCAAGAGCTATCTGAGAAACAGAATATCCTACCGATATTCACCAGTGGAAGATGAAGGCTTTCTTGAAGACTCAGGAGAAAATGGAAAAAGGAGCCATCACTAATCTTGTCGCACTTGGAGATTCTCAATTCGAAATGGACGCTGTAAAGAACCTGGGTTCAAAATTTTCAAGAGCTTTAATAAAAACTGTAAAATTCAGGGAAGCTCCAACACCTGATGAATTAGTTAAGCAAATTAACTTAATTGTTTTAAAGCTAGACCAAATCTGAACTGCAGGCAAAAATCTCACTATCAAGCTTGAGAGAAAAGAGAAGACAGGCTAAACACAATTCCCTCTTTGGTGAATAGATCCAATAATAAAATTTTATTTTATGGCTTTTGTGACACTTCTTTTTGCTTCATCAAATATTGCAATATTTCAATTCCCAAAATTCCAAAAGGGGTTTTGGGGTTTTGGGGTTTTGGGGTTTTGGGGTTTTGGGGTTTTGGGGTTTTGGGG